TGTGTGTGTGTGTGTGTGTGTGTGTGTGTGTGTGTGTGTGTGTGTGTTTTGAACCTGAATTTCCAGTACTTCACTACAGTAATTCAAAATAGATTCCAAAACAAGTCAACACAAGTGAGCAGTGTTTAAGAAATGCTCTTTGGAACTTTCTTAACTAGTTTGATACTTTGCAACATACTTTAAAAAAGTATTTTTAAAAAATATCTGTTAAACATACAATAGACTTAATAATTTGAAGAAGAAAAAACGTATTTGGTTCTGAGTTAACAGCAGCTTGCCTCTGTCCTCATGAGTGGGGTTATTATTTCCCCTGAGTGAGGAAAATAAGTTGATTAATCTATGAGTATGGGGAGAAAGACTAATGTAGTAGCTGCAGTGAACATTATTTAAGGTTCTAGTATTCATACTTTCAAAAAGGGGAAATGAACATATCTACATTTTTGAAATTCATTTGAAAATTTTCAAAATCCCAGTTCTTTCAAATCACAACTCATTAAACATAGAATGACAGAGAAACAGATAACACTTCTCTTCTATGTCCGGTTACTCTTAAATTTTACTTTGCGTTGTATCTTGTAAGAAGCTTATTTGAAGGCAAGCTTCTTACAAGATACAGGATACAATGCAAGTTGAACAAATACAACATAATTGCCATATGTGACTTAATTCTAATATTGAATTAGAATACATAAATTTTGCCTAAGTTAAAGGAGCTTTTTTTAAAAAACAATCATAAATATTACTGTTTATCAAATATCAGCTAAATCACTTGGGGATACAGGATTTGGTTAATGCAGAAACCCATTTGAAAATGACTTGAAACTTTGCCATTTAGTGTTCTGTTTTATTGGTTGTTGCTCATTATATGAAAGTGTGTTGCATTTTATGTGTTCCTTTTCTGGTTGTTGATATAGATTTATTCTTTTTTTTTCTTTTCTGCTTTCAGGAATTCTATGAACACACAAAAACACTTTGGCAAGATGAAGGTGTGAAAGCGTGCTACGAAAGATCTAATGAATATCAGTTGATTGACTGTGCTCAGTAGTAAGTACAGCTTTTCTTACAATTAATTTTACTGATATATTAGGAGAAACAGTGGAAAGATTCTGTTTTATTAGTGTTGATATAATGACTCAGGAACTCTGGGAGTTGAAGTCCATAAGTCATAAAGGGGGCATAGTTCCCCACCCCTGATGTAAATAGTTAAACTTGAGCCACATATCCATAATATAGTATGTTTTCTGGGTAACCTGATATTGTTGTAACTTTATCCTGCAGCATTTAATTTATACATTTTTGATATTTTGAAGGATAATATGCAGTGGGATCTTCACAGAAAATGAACAATTTCGAATGTATAATTGCAGTATTTGAGAAAGCATTCATTGTGTTGATATATGAGAAAAATCTACTTTATAGCACCGCTAAGGTGTGGACTAGTCTAGGAGAAAATCACAAACTAATGAGTCCTTTTAATTAACTTACATCCACTATTAACTCTACCACTAACATAAGTTAAATATTATATGCAAATATGAATCAAGTTATTATGTATCTTAATACAAATTAGCATAGCCTTGGTTTGTTGGAACAAGCTCAGATGATGTGTGCTAATATTTCTACTTCTTTTCTTTTGTTTCTTCTAAGACACCCTTGAGAATTAATCCATAATACCATATCATTTTCAAACAGAGCCATCACATGTCTTGCTATATGTCATTTATAGCCTGATTATCTGTAAAACAATTCCCTGGATATCAACCTCACAGATACAGCTGGAAAACTGCAGTTTTGAGGAATCAAGTAGACTTTCTTTACCCTGTCAGAAGATGAGGTTCATTCTGATCAGACCTTTTTAAAAAAGACCTTTCTAAAACGGTTTTCAAAGACCAAGTAGCCTTTTTTTCTATGCTGTCAGAAGATGAGGTTCATTCCTGATCAGACCATTTTAAAAATATGCTTTTTTAAATGAATGAATGAACCTCATCTTCTGACAGGATAGAATAAGTCTAATTGGTCTCTCAAAACTAGTTTTCCAACCATATCTGTGAACGTTTATACACAGGAAAATGTTTTACAGCTAATCAGGCAGTATTTATTTGGTAAGATACATTTTTACAAAGGTATTTTACCAGACAAAACTCTTGTAGATTGGTCTACAAGATTAAAACCCTTAGAGGTTGGTAGAGATCAATTCTGGTCTAGTGGTGAAGAAGGTACCAGGCTAGAAACCAGAAAACTGGGAGTTATATAGTTTGCCCATGAAAGCCAGCTAGGTGACTTTGGGCCAGGCATTCTTTCTCAACCCAACCCACTTCACAGGATTGTAGAAAATAGGGAGAAGAAGTTTTGGCATGTTCAGTGCCTTCAGTTATTTATAAAAATAATAAAAGTGAGATGTTAAAAAATACATTTGAAGAATACAGCAACTACACAGTTCCTGTTGTAGTTTGCTCTCAGTTGCCATCTTCTGGCCAGCCAAGAGGTCAGAATTAGGTTGTGCTGATTTGTCATAACTCTTGTTGCAAAGGCTTTAGAAGAAGTAAATTACTTTATAGCTTAGGCCTCTTTATAAAATAAAAATAATAATAAACGGGCACAATACCTCTCCACAATGTCCTAAAACATGTTTGTGTGAATTACTATTTTACTATTACTAAACTATTATTATTTCATTGGTCATTATTTTAGAAATGTCTTACCCAAGCTCTGCACCTCTTTAGGTGTGTAACTTAAAATACTATAATATTTTATATTTGTAACCATGATTGCAGTGTGGATGTATCAGAATGTATGACTAGCAATAAATCTATATTTGCTAGTTTGAAATGTTTCTGTTGCTTTGGCCAGTTAAATTATACATATTGATTACTAGTTAAACAGCCATGCTTCTCAGTTTTATGTTGCTGGTTTTATTTTCATTGTTGCAGTACTGTTTGTTTGTTATTGCCTGAAGTCCCTTATGAATTAGCAGATAGTTTTGGAAGCTTTAAAATAAGTAGATCAAGCCAAGAATGTGCTTGTGTAACCTTTGTACACTCCCATGGTATAATAATGCTTTCTTAAAATTGCTGAGAGCATCCTCTGTTGGCTCCATCTTCTTTGAAGCCCACAGATGACTTTGCTATGGGGTTGATGGGATGACTAAATCAAGAATTCTAGGAAAGGATCTCAGAATACATATCCATCCTACTTAATAGGATGCATGGTGTGACTTCCATCTTTATTCCAAAGTTCTTTGCTGGAATTCCTGATTGAAGTCAATTTTGTCGATGTTGATCTCACAGCAGATAAAAGATATGGTGATTAAGAGCCGTGGTGGCGCAGTGGTTAGAATGCAGTATTGCAGGCTAATTCTGCCAACTGCCAGCAGTTCGTCCTTACTGGCTCAAGGTTGACTCAGCCTTCCACCTTTCTGAGGACAGTAAAATGAGGATCCAGATTGATGGGGGCAACATGCTGACTCTGTAAACCAGAGGTCTCCAACCTTGGCAACTTTAAGACTAGTGGACTTCAACTCCCAGAATTCTCCAGCCAGCTGGCTGGAGAATTCTGGGAGTTGAAGTCCACAAGTCTTAAAGTTGCCAAGGTTGGAGACCTCTGCTGTAAACCACTTAAAGAGGGCTGTAAAGCACCATGAAGCAGTATATAGGTCTAAGGGCTATTACCATTGCTAAACAGTTTCCTTTTCTCTATGAGCAAAATACAGTGGGTTATATCATTCAATGTAATGTATGATGTACTTGTTAAACCTGTTAAAGAACAAAATAAGAATTTCATCAGCAAGAAATCATTGGGCATAAAGAAATAATTACTTTAATATCCATCCATACTATCTTCTTTTAGCTCCTTTGATGAATTCTCCATTCATATATGGGACTTTTTAAGGCAGAGGCTGCAGTCTTCCATTGCACCTTAGATTTATACTTGTTTTCATTAGATTTTTTTTCTCTCTCAATCTAGTCTAGTCTGTTAGAATAGGAAACCTGTCACTTTTCAAGTACTGCTGAACCTTTTCTGCTTCTGGGAAATTTAGTTCATCGCCACCCCCTTTTTAGAAGAAGGATTGCTTGATTCTGTACTTCCTGCTTACTTATGCAGAAGTGAACAGCTTGAGGGGAGGGGAAAAAAGCAATTTCCCTTCCCTTAACTAAGGTTACCAAACTGGTTACTTTCACTGGAGCTTCAAGGAGAAAAAAATACCCTGTGATCCTGAGCCAGAGATGTCCCAGTGCATTTTACTTTGCAAGATTAATAAAAGCTAGGAGGGAAGTGTCAGTGCCCTTTGTCTCTCAACAGAGTTTCAGGTGACTATAAAAAAAGGAAAGGAAAAAATGGGTGGGAGATGTTGGCCTCACTATTACCATCTAGAATCAGAATAGTCGACTTTTCGTTTGATGCCAAGTAATTTCTCCATATTTAGCATTAAATCGAAAATTATTTTATTGTAATGAGAATACTTGGGGAGTTATATTCTTATCAATGTAAATGAGATTCTGGAAGGGGCATAAAGTAAAAAGAAAGTGAAAGGAAAATGAACACCTCTTTTAATAGCATATTACTGTAAAATGTTTGCTTGAAATGTATACCGTCTGGTAAATGTTTCCTTGATGTATTGAAAGTCAGTTGGAAGAAGTAAGGTGGCTCCATCATGCCATTAGCCTTCCACACATAATGCAAAATTATTTTACTGAGGAGTTATTGGGGGTTGATTTTCAAATATCCAAATCTCTGCTAAAAGAGTACAGGATAAACATATTCAGTGATTTTTGATTTAGAACTTTTTTCTACTTTGTATTATTCTTTGCATTATTCTTGTGTTATCATTATATCTTTTATTTTGACATAATAATTTGGCATATATTTGGGTCATATGTTTTGTATAGCTCTGATATCCTTAAGAAGTCAGAATAATCTTAAATAACTAAGCATCGAACACGACAATTGTATTACAGTAATACAAGCTCTTCCATTTCCCCCCACAAAATCAAGGCAGAAGGGTTTGTGTATATGTGTGTGTGCATGTGTATACACACACACACATATACACACACATATATATATATATATACACACACGCTCATGCCCTTGTTCTGCTAAAGATTTGCTATATGTATCCTCCATTTAACATTTCCTGGACTTTTACCAGGGTGGAAAAGGAAATAGGGCAAGGGAAACCTTTCGCAAGCTGTTTCACACCCCTTCGACTTCAGGAAGGGCTGGAAGTAGCGTGAGAGAGTTTCTGTTCATGGTGTTTCCTGCAAGAATGCCTCTACGTGTTTTCTTGCTGCCTGCCATTTCAAAGGAAGAGCTTAGGAGGAAAGCATAGAGTCAGGTTAGATTGCCTGCACTTTTATAGTTCCAAAAATCCTTGCTTAGCTTTAGAAGTGGGTCAGGCAGCCATTGAGAGCTCTAGAAATCACATATTTGTAAAATAGTTGGTTTTATGTTATCATTAGAAGAGAGCTGAATACAGCAAATAATAGAGAATCATCGGAGGTGGCTGAACTACACCAACATTATTGCGTCCTTTGCGTTGACTGTTCTTTGCATTATTTCTCTGCAGTCCATAAATGTTTGCGCCTATTGACAGCTAACTGTCCCAAACTGGTTCTTGTGTAATTGTCTCCTTTAAATGACCCTTGTAATAACACTCTGGGTTTTTTTTAGTAAGTATTCAGTCCTGTCCCCTTCAACGGTGGGGCATGTGCTTTCAAGATAGATGTTCTGAATGTTGTTGTTTTTTTCTGTAACTTTCCATTGATTTTTGTTGTTTGGTTGTTTCCTGCTATTACTTCTGCCCATAATGAAGACATATGGTGAGTTGCTACTTTCTGATATACCCAGAGATATTAACAACATCAATGAAAAAGTGGTCCTTTAGGTCAGGGGTTGCCAACCTTTTGGACCTCAGGGACCACTAAACTCAAAATTTTAAATCTCATGGACCACTAATATGAATTTTGGCTGACAGTGGCTTGCTGATGTTGGTGGGAGGGAGAGAGAGAGAGATCCGATCTAACCTCGGAGGGCTGGCAGTGATG